GTAGAACCTACCAGTAATTAGCTTTTTAAAATTTATTATTATTTTTTTTCCCTTAGACTGTAGCCTGTTCTTTAAGGGCTTTTTGTTTTGTTTTGTAAGGTACAGCTGGAAAGCCCAGTGAATCCAAAGCTTGTTCAAGAGGGTGTGGGTGGTGGTGTGTCTTGTTTGTCTGTGGGTGGGTTGGTTTTAGATGCTCCTAAGGAATCTCTTCTGTTGGAAGTTTGCTGTCCTCATCAGATGTAATGAGGCATTTTGTTCTAAAGTGTTCTGTGAAAAGTAGTTCCAGCTTCTTTTTTTTGTATAAAATATGTCCTGAAGTTGGCTGTACCTGGGATGACTGTTTTCCCAAGTTTGCAGAGCAAATTTTTTTTTTTTGGTAGACTGCTGACCTGTAAATTTGAAATTTCAGAGTTCAGCGTTTTTTGCGTTGTCCTTGCAGAGTGAAAGATGGTTTTCTGTGAAGGTGTGACACTGGGGCACCAGCAGTGGCCTACTTTAAAGAAATACTGGAAAGGGTTTGAGATTTCAGCACAAATCATGAGACATTGGTGCAAAACATTGTGGAAAATACTCGTATGTGAGAACAGGGTGGATTCAGGAATATGATAGAAAAACCTGGACCTCTTGAAAGACAGAAATCATAGAATCATAGAGCGTTAAGGGGTTGGAATGGGCCTTAAAAATCATGTAGTTCCACTCCCCCTTGCCCTGTGCAGGGACATCTCCCACTAGACCAGGTTGCTCAAGGCCTTATCCAACCTATCCAAATATTTGCAACTAATGGCACAGTTACTTCTAAAACCTTTTTTTTTTTCTTTCTTTCTTTCTTTGCCCACAGTGGTATAGGACATAGAAATCCACAACATGACCCTTTTGGTTAAATGGGTGAGATTCCACAGAACTAAACAAAAATGGGCTATCTCTTACTCTGCTAAACTGTGGAGTAGTTCTGGCCCTGCGATCAGGGGATATGGGGTGGTCTCTGAAAGGGGAACTGTCAGCCCAAAGGCTGGGCCAAACCAGTTAGAGCCATAGAAACCTGTTAAAGCCATATTTAAGTCAGTGAATTGAGTTGGAAAGCTGATGAATTTAGTGCTTAACCTGCTGTGGGGTTTTCCTTATTAGCAGAGTTCTGAAGAAGGAACTGCATTTATTTATTTATTTGCTGGATATTTAGAAGTCAGCTGCAGGTTTGCTCTTCTGTTTTAGAAAGCCATTTCATACCCCACTTCATACAGTGGAGAGATGTACAGAAGGATTCGTGCCGTGGGACAGGGGGACTTCTTGCCTACATAGTGTCCAGTATGATATTTTGGGTCTCCTGGTGACATTTTGCTTTGTCACTACGTGCCAATAAATAGGCTAGTCCTGTGCTGGAGCAAGTCCAGTGCATCCACAGGACGAACGGGGTGATGAAATAAATGATTGTTGACAATCCTAATCTGCCACATCAGTGTTGTTGTAATAATAATTAGGATCTTTTTTAGCAAGCTGATGTTGGGTTCTTGAAAAGGGTGGGATTCTCCTTGCTGGTTTTAACTGGCTTTCCCTAAAGTGGGAGACGGGTTGGCTCTCTGTTGGTGTTCAAGCTGGTCTCTTCCTTACGGGCTGTCTGGGTTTCTCTCTCTGCTGTTTGTCCTAAAACTCCCTTTCCACGTCAGTTCTGCATCTTGCAGTTGCTCCTGCCCATCTCTGCCTGTACAGGAGGGATCCAGGGAGACCTCAGCCTCACAAAACCAGGGCACAGCGTTCTCCAGAGCCCTGGGAATGCTGCTCTACTATTTTTGGAACCAGCTCCCTTGCTTCTATAATAGGAAGGCTTCTGGAAGCTTTCTCCTTCCCCTCGCCCCGAGAAAGTGGCCTTTCAGCTGGGCTTTCAGGATCTGCGTGGCAAAAACACATCTAGTTTTGTACTCCCAAATAATCCAGACGTGCTGGGTGAGTGGCTTTGCCCACCCCCCATCACTCGAGGCCGCAGCAGCCGTGGCTGGTTCGGGGGGCTCGGCCACCACCCCGCTTGTCATTCGGGGCACGCGACGGTGGCAGGCGGTGCCAAGGCAGCTTTCTAGAAAGCAGAGGGACGTGTGACCTGGGGGGGGGGGGGGGAATGTTTGTCACCAGTGAGGGATTTACTGGTTTTGTTTCCCTCCTGGGTCGAGCAGGACAAATCTAACGAGCCAGTTCTCAACTTCTTCCCCATTGAGCAATGTCCTTACCCAAATTGTGCAAGACAGCTGAAACCTTTCAGGAATAGCTGAACAAGGGAAACACTTGTAATATTATTATTTTTTTTTTTTTCCCCAGTACTCAAAATACAGAGTTAAGAGGGTGCAGCAGAGCTTGTCTTTCCTTTATTTTTCTTTTTTCCCTTCTGAGATTTTCCTTTTGAGGGGACGGCTTAGTCCTTCCAACGCTTACCCCACCTAGAGAGAAGGCAGGATTGCTACCAATGTGAAGCCTTTCATTCTGCATTGACATGATCTTGGAAGGCAGACAGGTTCTCCCTGTAGTGCTTCATTAGAATAAGCATTTCATATGCTTATCAGTACGGCGAGTAGCGCTGCTTGACAGCAGTGGAGAGTCAAATGTTGCCTTGGAGCCCTACACGCTCATTTCCCCGCTTCCGAAACGCTCTGGATTCTGCCCGCTGTGCATTCAGAAGTGTTCCTTTTCCACTGACTTGAAAGAAGGTAAAACCCACTTTGTATCAAGCACCTTTTCCAGCTCAGTTCCAGGTGTGGATCAGAGCTGGCTGAGTCCAGGCTGAGTTGCTGAGAACTTCGTCCTGCCGGGCTCTGTGAGTTCCTGCCAGGTCCTGGGGGTAAGTGGGTCAGGGAGCTGACAATTCTGGGTTAGTTCTCTCCTAGTTCAGCTCCCTGAGCTGATTCAGGTGAGAAATCAAGTGGGAAACCAGTGCTGATAAGGGGAAAGGTGCGAATGAGCTGGGAGGAGAAGAGGGATGAGACTCAGCATGGCAGGAATTACAGTGACTGGAACAGCCGTGTGCTCCCTGCTGACATGGATGCCTGAGCTCAAATTTACAACAGAATCACAGAATCATAGAATAGTTGGGGTTGGAAGGGACCTCTGGAGATCATCCAGTCCAACATCCCCTGCCAAGGCAGGGTCACCTGGAGCAGGTGACACAGGAATGTGTCCAGGTGGGTTTTGGATGTCTCCAGAGAGGGGAAATCCATGGCCTCCCTGGGCAGAGCCTGTTCCAGGGCTCTGCCACCCTCAGTGTAGAGAAGTTCTTCCTCATGTTGGGGTGGAACTTTTTGTGTTTTAGTTTATGTTGCTGGGAACCAATGAAAAGAGTTTGGCCCCATCCTGTTGACCCTCACCTTTGAGATATTTATGTGCATCGATGAGGTCCCCTCTCAGTCTTCTCCAGACTAAACAAGCCCAGCTCTTGCAGTCTTGTCCTCGTAAGAGAGGTGCTCCAGACCCCAAATCACCTTTGTGGCCTCCACTGATTCCCCTTATGTGGGAATCTTCAGATTCCAGTTCAGGAACTGCTCTGCCTGGTGTGATCCAGGGTACAGAGTATGGATGGGAGAGAGGGAAAGGCTGGAGTAAATTTGGTGGGGAAATGAGCCAAGGCAATGGTCACAGGTCTTGCTTTACCAGCTCTGGTTCCTGGTGCCTGGAAGAAGAGGTATCAGCTGATTTTGGTGTGTGAGTGGACACGGGAAACTCCCCCATATTTATTCCAGCTGGAGCCTCTGTGGCAGCTTTTTAGATTAGATAACATCAGAGTTATCTTGTTAGAGTACAAAACTGGATTTGATTTTGCCATGCAGATCCTGAATTAATGAAGTAACATCAGATCTGTGCAACTTTATCCTTTCTGACCGTCAAACGGTGGGGAAGCTGAGCACACAAGGCAAATTATGTCTGTGGTGGCTCCTTTAGTGTCATAAGGCAGTTCTTAAAGGTGTTTTAAATAGGAAGATATTACCTGAAGGATGGTTTTAAAGGAAGGCTTGTGTTCCTGTAGATGTCTAAGAGGCTGAGTATGAGGATTTGGTGTGTCATCTTGCTGTCCAGCCTAGTCTGGGAGCTGCTGTGGATCATTCCCAGTGGGAATATTGGGATGAGGAAAAGCTTTCTGCCAAAGCTTCTTGCTTAGGAGATTCTAGTGCTGTTACATGTGTTTGAGAGGGAGGGAGGGAAGGATGACCAGGCTGGGAAATGGCAGAACTGCCTGTCTGGTGAAATACAGTTTTAGAGACAAATCTTGGAACTTGGTTCTTGCAAGAGAACAAACCCCCACATCTTTATAAGAAAGCCTCAGCACTGTGGGTTTGGTTGTTTTTTTGTTTTTTTTTTTTTTCACCATCCTAATGTCTGTTTTTTGGTACTAACTCCTCTGAGTTCCCCTCTGAAGCTCTTGCAGCTGCTTTCTCCTGCGTCCTGGCCGTGCTGCTGATCCGTCCCTGCGGAGCACCCTGAGCCTTGCCCTTGTGTGGAGGTGGGGTGGCTCAAATGTGTTTTTTTTTTTTACACGTGTTTTTTACCAGCAGGGTGGCTGCCGCTCGGATCCAGCCCTGAGGCCGCGGCCTCCTTTCCAGAAAGTAAATTTTCTGAGAGGATGTGCCCACCCCTCGAACTCCTTTGTTGAGCAGTTACTGTTGCCACAGCTAAAACACACTTGTTGTAGTTCAAAATATCAAAGGCTCCAGCAAATTGCTGCACAGAGGAGGAGACCTTGACCCCCCCTCCCCTTCCTTCATGCACTCTGGCTGAGTTCATACACTTGTTTTCCTGAGCTGCAGCACCGTTCAAACCTGATGATAAGGCGTGGAATTCTGGGGGACCGAAGTGCCGTCCAAGGCTGGGAGGGATGTGATGCTCTCACTGCTGCCAAAATCCCAGTCCTTCCCACATCTTGTGCACCGAGGCATATGTTGGGGGGGTGGCTTCAGAAAGGGAGAACAGCACCATTATGTTTTTTAACTTCCTCTCCTGTTTTGTTTCTCCGTGCATCTGTATTGCAGTTTTTTTTCCTCTGGGCAAAACCAGCAAAGCGGCTGAAGCACCTACTGCTAAAGAGCAGCCTTGGTGCAGAAACAGTGGTAGTTAAAAGGCAGTAAGTATCTTTGCTAGCTTGGATGCTGATTTTTTTTTTTCTTTTTCCTTTTCCTTCTTTTTTTTCCCCCCCTTTTTTTTTTTTTTTTTTTTTTTTAATTCACAAGCACAGCTTTTTACTCCTCACACAGTAGGAATTTGTCAGGAGCCCGCTGGCATTAATAGTCCATTTCAGCTCTTTTCTATGGCCCAGCAGCTATAGAGGAAGGGAAAAAGCATGCTTTGTGTGGAGCTGTGGTTGGAGCTGGGCTGCAGTGCCCATCTGAACTTGGCTGTGTCTATTTTGCCAGCTTTTACTTCCCTCTGGTAGGTGCTGGTCCCTTCCTAAACATGATATCCCACTATATGATTCCTATATGCTTGGATCCAGGGCTGTGGCTGCTCCTGACCTGAATCCCCTTCTTCTCATGGTTTTGCTTCTCAAGCTCTTCACTGCAAGCCAGATACCTTTTGGGTTTCATTTTTTTTTTTGGTCTGGCTTTTATCTTTTACTTCTGAGCTGATCTCCAAAGGAGTAGGACTGGCACAAATCGTGTGGTATTTCTAACTAGGGATACATGGGAGGGAGTTGTAGCTATTGAAAAAGTGAGTGGCATTCTTGAAATGGTGTGGTTGCGTTTATTTGGGTGTGGATATAATCATGTTTTTTTGTGACACAGCTCCTGCTGAGTCTGAAATGCTGGTGTCAGTAAAGCCAGAAGGAAAGCCAGACAAAAGCTTGGAGAAAAGTCAGGATTTCAGTGCCTCTTTACTGATGGTTCATGGGAAAGTAACAATTTTGTGTTTAATTTTGATTTTCCCAAAGCACCAGGCACATGCTTTTTTTTCTTTTTTTTTACCCCCCTCTGTGAATTACTGTTTGTGAATATGTATTTTACATCCCCCCAAACACCAGAAACAGCTGATTTTTTGTGCCTAGGTTTCACTCCTAGGGGTGGGTCCTTGTTCCAGGCTCTGGGTAGTCGAATGAAAGTGGTGTTTAACTACAGAGCTTCAATTCCTGCTCATCGTGGCAGGCTGGCTCCTGGTATTATTCCTGAATTCCTGGAGCTGAGGACGTGCTCTCACCCCCCCTGCTCTGCCAGTGCAATGCCTCCGTCTTCTCCACCCGACACGTTTCTCAGCCTTGTGTAGAACTCAGCAGAGATTTCTCCACGAGGGCTGGAATGTGTTTATATAATATTTTATATATTATTTTAGGCTCCTGCTACTCAAATGTAGGCAAATGATTAACCTCTCCATCACCATCAGCAGACGAATCGTGGAGTTGCCGTAGCAGACAGTCAAGCCAGATGGGTCTAAACCGGCTTCTGCTTTTTCCCTGCCTGGAAAATCCATCCTTCTCAGTGGTTTTCTCAGCAAGTGTGGCCACCAAGAGCAGCTTTTGCAGGCCAGGAGCGTTCAGTGGGAGCACCGAGCTGTAACCACACTGGTCAAGCACTGCTCGGTGTGTGGGTTGGGGCTCTCCTGTGTGGGAGCTGTTGATTGACGTGAGAGGCTCCATCTCCTGCAAAAGCAGGAGCGGGGCAGCAGCAGCAGGAACACTGGGCAAGGCTGCTGGAAAGGAGAGAACAACCTGCTGCACTAAATCACAGATCCCCTGGGGACACAGCTCTGTGTTTAGCACCCTCAAATGGCATCCCTTTATTTACGGCATCACCGAGCGTGGTCCCTCTAGACAGGAAGCAAACGGGCTCTAAAACAATCTGCTGGCAACTCAGGCTGGAGCATTTGAGGTTTTCCAGGGCTCTTTTGCTGTGTCACTCTTGCCTTTAACGTTCCAGCTCAAAGGTTGTTGTTCTTTCGCCATCTGAGTCCGTTAAGGCGCCGGTGAGAGAGTATCTGCTCCAAGGCCAAGGTGTAGAAGGCAGTGAGAACAAGAGATACCGCAGAGCAGCGTTGCTCTGGGTGTAATCTGCCTTATCAGCACGTGATGCAAAGACAGGGCAGTTTCCACAGGCTGCGTGGTGACGTGTTTTCTGTCCTCTGCGAGATCCACCACGTTATTTCGATTAGAACGCTAACGTAACTCCTGGCAGCCTCGAATCCTACAGCCAGCAGCCCATTTCCCCCCCAAAGCCTGGTGCAGAGCTAAGGAGCAGAAGGATCTCTCGTGTGTCCTGTTCACAAGGAGCTCTGGAGAGGAGGTGTTCCGTGGGAGGTAACAAGGTAGCCGTGTTGTACATAAGGTGGAAAATATGTTGTGTGTGCAGGGAGGCTGTTGTGTTAATCTGTGCTTAATGGTGTTCAGAAACTCCAGCTGCAATAATGGCATGATGATAAGTTCTTTTATATATATAAATATATGTATTTTGTATCTGTGCATGCACATATGTGTATATATATATATATATATATTTTTTTTTTTTTGTCTCATGTCTGGATCATCTGTGCTTCGGTTGCTGCTGCGCTTGAACCTGACCTTCTCATGTTTGTTCAGTTTTTAGGTGGCAGAGACACAGTGAAGCTCTGTGTGGGGCAAGGAGAGCTGATGGGCGAGCCTGGGGTGTGACCCAGGATGGACTGGCTGTGACGGCGTGCCTTAGCTGGAGAGGTAGTTACCATGAAGAGTTCCTGCAGAGCTGGCCTCCACAGGGAACCGCTGAACTCCACATCCTCCACCTTCCACCAAGTCAAACGGTACGAACAGACTGGGCCTGCCTGCTCAGCACTGACTGAGCCCTCTGCTCGCTCTCTTATTGTCTTGTCACTCAACTGCTCACTCTGAATTCTTCCTTTCGGATGGCGTTTCAGGGAGACGCCGTAATGGCCCGGGGGGCAGAAATGTTCTTTTGACATTTTTATTTGATAATGACAACTGCAGATTCCCTACAGCTGGCGGGGTGCTCGGAGAAATCCTTGGGTTTTTTTAGCAACAGCTGTAAATTAGTTTGGGAACACGACTTTGAAGTGAAACTTAATTGGCGAGTGGCTCGTCAGAGGAGGCTTTGGAACATGCAGTCAGCTTAGAGCAAGTGGAAACGCTGGCAGTCATTGTTGCGGTTTGCCTTACTATGGAGTAAGTAATTAGATTAGTTTAAGCTCAGATTTTTGCATTGCTCACTCTCCTGTGTCTCTTATTAAGAAGAAATGCACGATTGGTTTCAAACACTTGTGCTTATGTGACAATTAAGTGAACGCCTCTCAGTGTGTCTCGTTATAGGAACACCGTGCAGAACAACTTGTCCTTATGCAAATGCAGGAACACGCCGGTTTGTTTGAGTTCAGGCTACTTCAAAATATATGTATCTTCTTTTTTTTTTCCCTTCTCTTTTTCTGAAAGCAAGGCTCCCAAACTTCCTCAGTCTGGCGGAAGAGCGCCAGCTTTTCGGTTTCCAAAAAGCTGTGTGGGTTTAAAGCAAACTTTTAACCTTTGTTCTTTGTGGTTGTGTAGACAGCATATACTTGCTATGTTAGTCTCATGGTAATTTAGTGCTGGAAAAGACTTCCTGGGTCACCCAGCTCTTTGCTTTCCCAAGCAGTATCTCATAATCCCTTTTGTGAACTTAGTCTAGCCTAAAAGCATTTACATCTTTTCTTACATCTCTTCTTCTCTCCTCCAGCAGATTAAGCCATTACTGAAGATGACAGATCTAGCTGTGCAATTAGGAACCTCCTTTTGATTCCCAGACTAAACATTCATGACAGTTTACATGCTTATTTGACTTTCTGTTCCTTTATTTTCCTTCTGCTTTTCTTCCCACTTCTTATTTTCAGTGGTTCACCTCTCTGGCTCCATTCTGTAAGATGGGGTTGTGACCCTCACCTGTGGTTTTGTGGTGCTGAATGACCCAAGTTTTTCTCAAGTAGCTTCTTGAGTAACGACTGTTGTTGTCCACAGTGTGGATATATCTCAGTCCTGGCTAAAATTGTCTGCTGCAGGGCAGAGCTGGCTGGAGGGTTTTCTTGCTGCTGCCTCAAACGTGTCACAGTGTTCTGTGGTGGCCAATTCACCTTAGCTACTTCCAGAACTCCTTGGTGTTCCTCTCGCTGGTGCATCACTGCCTGTGTTTCAAAACCCTCCTCAGTTTCTGCTACTTGGAGCTTTGTGTCTCTGCTGCTTTGGAGCTGCCTCCAGTTCTGGGGGTGCAGTATTTGTGCTGAGGTCATTCCTAACAGAATCAGATCTTCCCCAGGCTGATTCTTGAGGCATGCCTTTGGTTTCCAAGCTGGTATTTTCTTATTCAGCATCACCTGGGGCTGTCTGCTGCTAAGCCAGCTCCTTTGTCTGTTTTCCCACTCCTCTGCCAATCTGTCTTCACCAGTAAATCTCTTTGTGCTCTCTGAAGACCGTGTGAGTAAGATATAGTAGATTTGCTTAAAAAGATCACTTTTTTTTTTTTTTTTAAAAACCTTGAGGTTAGTCTGGCATTTTGAAGTATTCCCTCTTCCCCCTTGTTCTCTGTGTCACATTAATCCTCTTTGCTTGCAAAGCACCTTTCTATTGGAGGCAGAATACCAGCCCTGGAGAGGCTGCAATCATTCTCCCTTCTCTTTCTCCCCTGCAGTGCCCCCTCCAATGTGCCACATGTTTATTATCTCCCATTGTTGCCTTTCAAGAGGTTTATAAATCCTGTTTCTTGGCCTGCAGTGCGTGAGCCTATCTGTTTTGGATTCTGAAACCGAGATGAGCCAATCCTCACGATTTTTATGAAGCTCTTTAATCCTCCCCCTGCCAATGTTCTTGTTTCAGATTCACGCCTGGGCTTTTGCCCTCACGATCGCAGTTACCACCCCTCTTTAAAAATGCTGCAAAGTCAATTTTGGTATTTTGTGGAGCACTTGGAGCACTCCTGATCTCTGCCCTGCCCTTGCTTGCAGCCTTGTTTCTCTCTCAGTCCTTTCTCACAAACTGAGGAACCTTTCACTGTTGCTTGTTTTTAAATACCTCTGCAGTGACTTAATGCTGCAACCACTTCTCATGTTTATCCCTAGACCTTTTGAGCTTCAAGATACATGAGTTTCTAAGTGATGTGACTTGAAACCTGCAACCTGCATCTGTTTCTTGTGTCCTTCACAAAAGAGGATCACATCCAGTTGGACTTTCTTCAGTTCTCGTTTGGGATGTGTTCTTAGTAATGAAAACACCTTTTGGCTCCTGGAGAAATCTGCCTGCAGTGAAATGCTCTGCACCACATCTTTGAACATCCATGAACCAGCCTCTTTTCAGCCTTGAGTTTCAAAAGAGCAACCTTATGACTTGCCTTCAGATCCACTTTCGCTTATTCTTTCTTTTGAACGCCGAGTTCTCCGACTGATCGTGTGGTCCAAGGTTAATTTCTGCAACCTTTCATGTGTTCTCATTACACATGCACCAAAATGAAGGCTATAAATAGCATCCCTTTGTGTTGGTTCGTTAGTTGTTTGTAGAAATGTATGTTGTGCTGTGATGTGAAGAAAGGTCTTGGTCCTGTTGCAGTTAATTAAATCAGAAAACAAACGTTAAAGTAAAGAGGGGTAAAAGACTTCCAGAAGGAAGCATATCACCTATCTGTGCTGCTCTGGGCGGTTTTAAGCAGAAGATCTATAAAACCACCAGTTTTGGAGTTTTTTTTCTTACTGTCCTTCCGTGATTTCCCCTCATCTCGACCTGTTCCACCACAGGCACGTGTGCCATCCCGTCATCTCTGAGCTACACATTTCTGGAGCAGCTTATAAACTTGAACCCCAAATCTGTCAGTTCATTTTGTTCCCTTCTGCTTTGTGTCACCCCTGTGTCGTCCCTAGTGTGGTTGGGAAAGCAGGGAGCAGGGGTTTGAGGTTCCTGAGGCCCAACAAAGAACTGCCCCTACGTCACTGGCTTCACGGTGAGTGCTTTTATACAAAAGCCTGGCAAAGCAGCGGCACTTCTCCCTGTGTAAAATTTAGTAAAAATAGCCAAGTTGGCTGTGCTTTAGGTTGAAGGGTGTGTGTGTGTGCGTTTAGTGTAAAATGTGTCCAAAACATCAGTGGGTGGGAGCCCTCGAACTGGAGTGGTGTGTGTTGGGCTTTGGGTGTGTGTTGTGTCACCCGAAACCCCAGCGTGGGGAGGATGATGGACTTTCATGCCTGTGTGCAGATACTTCTGGGTGTTGTCTCCCCCAGAGTCAGGTTATTTGAACACCTGATATGGGTGAACAGTCAGTGCTGGGTGTTTGCTTTGCATTTAGTTCCTCAGCTCTTTGGGGCCAGCTCTGCCCCACGTTTTTGGCTTGCTCTTGCTTCCCTCGGGCTGGCCACTTGGACAGAGAGCTCTCCCGCAGCAGCCAGATACCTTCTGTTTGCCTTCCCATCCCATAATAATCCCTGCTGGCTCTCTGAGAGGATGCAAGAGGCGTTTTTGCAGGCGCTGGGAGGGGAGGTGGGTCTGGAGCAGCTGCTGCTCTGAGGGAGTGGGTTTTCTAGAAATCAAATGCCTCCACAGCTGCCGGAGTGGAACCCGCCCCAGCTCCGGAGCGTCGTGCTTCCCAACCCGCCCTTCTCCCAGCTTGGACAATTGCCACGTGCCAGAACAAGCTCCAGTGAGCAGCAGAGCCTCTTCCATCCCGGCTGCTTGGCCGGCCGGGACTTTCCCGCCCCGGCAGAATCCGTGGAATGCCTTTGAAGCAGCTCTCTGTCTGCTCTGCCTTGCCCTGGCGGTGCAAAGGGGATGGAAATGGTACTGCAGATCGAGCCCAAAGGACCCACCAAGCCCTTCCAGAAATAACAAGTGGTTGACCATGGTTAACTCACATTCAGCGCTGGGTCCTTGCTAATTGTCAGTGTCCTTTGCAGAGGAGCTGAGCTCTGTGGACAGAGAACTGGGATGCCAGGGAGGAGAGAAAAACCTTGCCAGAGGTTATGCTTGGTGTGGGGTTTTTTTGTTGATTTTTTTTTAAACTCCTTTTTTTTTTTTTTTTTTTTTTTTTTTTTTTTTTTTTTTTTTTTTTTTTTTTGGCTTCTTCTGCCTTGTGTTAGTGTGTCCTGAGGGTTTTTTTCAGAGTTGTAGTTGGCACTGGGTGTGCAGTCAGCAACGCGAGGAGCTCTCGCTGGCTGCAGTTGGGGTGTTTACCAGAAGAAATCCACAGGAAACTTGGGGGTTTGGATGGAAATTTTCGCCTTAACAGAACCTTCCGGTGGGTGCTTTGCCCAGAAAACTCTCAGTGTGAATATGCTATTGGAGAATATTGTACTTTTTTTGTTGTTGTTGTTGTTTTTCCTGCTTTTGGCTTCACAAGGGCATCATGACTGTCCCTGACCTGGGAGCAGTGAGAGGCATTGAGGTTCTCTGTGGACCTCACAAAGGAGTTGTAAAAACTGAGCCCTTTTTTTTTTTAACCAGTTTTCCCTTCCAACTTTTGGAGTTTCCACTAAAGCAAATATATTATTTTTTTAGGCTGCTGTGATTTTAGAACGTATATGAGTACAAAAGGATGCAGGAAAATTCTGGCCAGCTTGGCAAGTAAGAATCATGGAATGATTTGGCTTGGAAGAGACCTCAGAGACCATCTCATTCCAACCCTTCTGCCATGGGCAGGGGAACACCTTCTACTAGACCAGGGTGCTCCAAGACTTATCCAGCTTAGCCTTGGAAATTTCCAAGGATTGGGAGTCCACAAGTGGGTTTTGGGCCTTCCCTTCAGTGGGGAGAGGAGAGGGGGAGTGGGTGTGTGTTTTTGTGCTCTTATAAAGGAATATATTTCTGTATCAACGACGTGGAGTAACTAACTTGATAAAACTACAGTGGAAACAAGCTGCAGTTACGACTTAGGAAAACAGCAGTGTCATTCCAGCAGGGCGAGTATCCTGTTTTTCAGACATGGCTGATTAGAAATAGAAAAACTGGCCCCTTTACTTCATCAGCCTAAAGGATGGAATAACAGCATGAAGGCAGCACTGCTCGTTGTTTCAGTGCTGATCGTTCCCTGGCAGAATTCTCTCTTTATCAGCAACTTAAAACCGCACGTTTGGGATTGGAAAAACCTTTTCATGTTTGCTCTGTGGACTTCTGAGGAGTCGTCGTCTCTAAAGATAAAATTAGAAAGCTTGATAACTTAGAGGGTGGAGGGAGGAAAGCAAACAGAATTATTCTGGAATTAAGTTTCGTAGGGAATTGTCAGTGACTTCACCTTTTAGCAACGATTTTTGGTGGTTTTAAATATTTAAAAGCTTACCTGCAGCTGCCACAAGTTCTCCACTTGCCAGCACCGAGACGCTGCAGAAATAGGGGAGTCTGTGGGTGGGGACTGGGCTCTGGTTCGTCTTCAAAGCAGTTTCTGCTGGGAAGGCTTGTTCTAATTCTAGGAGCTGGAGATGAGATGTGCTGCTGACGTGCAGGGAAGAAGCTGTGTTTGCCTAAAAGTTCGTTCTTAATACCCACAGCAAAGCGCGTGTGAGGTGGGGGCTCGTTGTTTTTTTCCGAGAGACACTTTCAGGTAAAGTCCATTGCTAAGATCCCTTTTAAAATGGAACTTCTCTTCCCTGCCGCTGGAAAACTGTGAGGCAGGTGACAGCTGGTCAGGTGGAATTTTGCAGTGTTCTTTATAGCTGTCTGAAGTTATTAGATGAAGATTTTCTTTTAAATCCAGACCCATTAAAACATGTGCGATGAGCCGAGTGCTGAATTCAAATGAGGCAATTATTCTGGCAGTAAAACTTCTGAGTAAGGCATAATTTTGTTATGTAAATTCTAACTTTTCAACCTTAAATGGTATTGTTGGCTGAGCCGGGGACTAACTGAAACACAGGAGGAAATACAACCTTAAACAAGAAATCTGTAATAGGTGAGGCAGAACTCTACCCTTTGTCTTTCTCCATAGACCAGAAATAGCTGGGAGCAGCTGAACCAACTTTGCTGGCTAAACGTGTCCCCCTGAGCCTGTTGGGGTAACCAGTTTGGTCCTGTTTCCATTCTTACAATGCCTGGTCTCACCTTCACTCGCAGCTTCTCTTAATGAAGGGTGTTGAGCCGATTGTCCCTCCCGGATTCCTGAAAACTGCTCGGAGAAAGCCTTTTATGAACCAGCTCAGCTCATTTTTCAAACACCTTGGCACGAAAACCCATGAATGAAATTTGATCTCCTGCTCCTGGCTCAGGAGATTTCAGCATGCAAATCGTGTATTTAATTGCGTGCACCTCTTCTCCCCAGGGTACGGTGGCGGGCGGCCACCAGAGCTTTTTTTTTCTCTCTCTCTCTCTCTCTCCCTCTAATCCGGGAAGCACAGCTCCAGAATGTCCTTCTGGAAGGGAAGGGAGGACTGCAGGCACTGTTCTCTGAGCAGCTTTTTGCTGCAGTGTTTCACTTGCTGCTCTTCTGGGCCGGGCTTTGGCATCAGGGCACATCGGGGGCCTGACCCCGCTTCACTAAAGCACAGCCGAGACGAGCCAGACCCTGCGGAAAACGAGGCCGGAGCAAACTCCAGCAGCCTTGATCTCCCGTCTTCTCTTCATGCATCTGTTTCAGCACCCCGAAGTTCTATTTTTATGAGGTTATTTCAGCTTCTAGCATCCAACTGGAGAGGCAAACAAAATAGCTCAGTCGCGCTTTGCAGAGGAGACTAAATTGGGAGGTGACCCAATTCCAACGAGCTGGAATTAGCACGCAGGAAGGCACAGGGAGAGAATTAACCCAGGAACTGGGTAGGTGTAGCTGCAGCACTGAGATCTCTTCCCCCCTACAGTCTGTAGGTGAGGTGCAGATGGTTTTGGCGCTGTCTGGTCGCAAGAACGAGGCGATGGTTTCCCTATAAAATCCCGAGGGAAGGAACACAGATAGCATCATCCTTTCCAGAGTCTGCTTCCTGGCCTTCAAAGCACTGCATGGACTAAAGGGGCATAGAAAGCTGAACTAAGTCCTTCCTCTTGATGTACCTCCCTCCAGGCCCCCTGTGCCTGCCCCTCACTTCTCATCACTGGGGCCAGAAGGAAATATCCAGGGAAAAGCAATGGTTAAGCAGCGTGGCTGCTCCTGGTGCTGGAGGCTTCCTCCGCTTGGGCAGCGCCAGCTATAAATTTGTCAGACTTTGTAGATGTTGTGCCTTGAGGTTTTTAATTAAGAGCTGCTTTTAGGCTACAAGTGCAATACTTGAGCAAGTGTCTTGGTGGTGGCTCTCCAGGGAAACGCGTTCGGTGCCTGAATGTGTCCGTATCGGCTCCTGAGGGATGTGGCATTGAACCTGCTGCTCCCTCAACGTGCAAGCACAGATTATCCCCATTTCAAAGTGTAAGGAGGCCTCTGAGTGTAACAATTCAAAGATTACCATGGAAACATAATCTATAGTTAGTTCTGTAATGTGCTTCTGTGATGCTCCTGGGGAGAAGAGCCTGGAGTCTCCTGATGATTGCACCCTGTGTGGGCAGCGCCCCAGGCTCTGAGCCCTGAATGGAAGGTGACTGGGAAGGTGTGACAGAACAGAGGAGCTGAGTGCTGCAGGAGTGCTGCTGCTGCAGTGTCAGCAGCATCCAAGTCGTCCCTCACAGCTCTTCTTAAGCTCCTAACCATGAAAACACGTCCTTGAGAGTGGGTCACTTCAGCTGTACGTGATGCTTCTCTCGCTTTTGGGGGGGGTGTTCTGATGTATAATGTAAGGACCCTTATGAGAAAGTCACCAAATTTGCCATGATCAGTATTCTAAAGGGTAAGTTTCATTGCCCAGAGAAGCTGCCCCATCCCTGGAAGTGCTCACAGCCAGGCTGGACAGACCTTGCAGCAACTTGGTCTAGTGGGGGGTGTCCCTGCCCATGGCAGGGGGGGTGAAACAAGGTGGTTTTTAAGGTCCAGCCCAAACCATTCTGTGATTTTGGGTGATATTAGGAATTTAGATACCCACTGGGATCTCTGATGAATGTAATTACACTTGCTAATTTCCCTTTTAACTGTACTTTTATCTCCTGAAAGGAATATGTCTGATAGCAGATGTCCAGATAAACCACATGATACCTTACAACTGGATTAAGGAATGAATGAGCAGAAGGGTGGCTCTAAAATGAACCACTGGCTATGTTTTCACAACTGATAAACTCCAGGATTTCTCCTTGAAACAGGTTTATCTAATGGGAAGTTCTCTCCTACTGCAGGAAGTTCTCCAATTGGATATTGGAGATTTGGTTGCTGCATTTTTCTTTCTCGTGTGGTTCTTCTTGAGGCGTGGGATGGTGCCTACCCTGGATCACCTTCTCTAATTCCCAGACAGGAATATTTTGCGACTGTAACTTCTCCCCTTTCTGTTTTTCCAGGGTCTCTGGTATGCACTTAAAGCCATATCTCAAGTTACAGAAGAAAGAGCGATCCCCAGAAATAAGCCAGGACTCCCTGCGAGGCCACCAGGGATCAGCACAAGGAGAAAAATACACCACCTGCACCAAACTGAGCGTTTTCCCCAAACCCTCCCTCGTGACTCCATCTCAAAAGCTTCTGGGGATTATTTATCCAAATACTATGTGCAATATGAACGGGAAGGGTCCAGCGGATGGTCCCAGTGCCAGGGAAAAGAAGAACGCCCTGTCTGCGACGATCCACCAGGGAGAGGAAGGGGAAGGGCCTCTGGATGTCTGGGCCGTGGTGAAACCCGGCAACACGAAGGAGAAAATCGCGTTCTTCGCCGCCCAGCAGAGCAGCAGCAGCAGCAGCAGCCGGGTGGGCTCCATGAAAATCAAGAGCACGTGGGACATCGACGGGAGGACGGCCAAGCGCAGGAAAAAATCGGTGGACCTCAAAAAAGCCAAGATCCAACTGGAGAGGATGAGGGAGGCCAACTCCAGGTGCTCCCAGCCCGAGCCTTTCGCCTGCGGCATCGAGCACTGCTCGGTGCACTACGGGAATGACAGCGGAGAGGGGGCGTTCCCGGGCCGGTCCTTGTCGGTGATAGAGATGGTGGCTTTCCTGGAGCAGCGAGCCAGCGCTCTGCTGGTGGACTGTGCTAAAACCTGCACGGCTGCTCCCGCCACGAGGCCGAGCGCTCAGCCCAAGGGGGCCCTTCCCGCCTCCGACCCTTTCTCCTCGGCCGGGGCGTGCGAGGCGCAGGCGGAGAGGGGCCCCGGCGAGCAGCAGGGCGAGCCCGTGCGCGTGCTGGACATGGTGGCCAAGCTGGAGTCGGAGTGCCTGAGGCGCCAGAGCGAGCGGGAGGCCGGGAGCCTCTCCCGGAACAACAGCTTCCGCAGGAACGTCGGGAGGGTGCTCCTGGCCAACGGCACCCAGCCCGAGGGAGAGGCGGGGAAGGGGGTGCTGGGGGTTCTGGCTCAGGGGGATGGCCTGGGGGAGGCGGGGGTGGCAGAGGCGGGATACGGGGGTCGTTGTGGTGCTCTGGGTGACGCCGAGCTGTGGGACGGCGGCGCCTCCGCTCGGCGGCCTTTTCCTTCGGGGCTGGATACCCGGATGGGGAATGTGAACTCGGGACTTGCTCACGCGGTGCTGGCGATGGCAGCCGGCAGGAGCGACACTGAGACACGGATTGAGCCCCCCGGAGCTCTGCTGTCCTCGTGTCCAGCTGCTGCTGCCAGGCTGCCGCCCGATCCCTTGCCGAGCAAGGACGCGACCGTTGATTGTACGTCGAAGGAGCCTGTGGTTTTCCCAAAGCAGAGCCTGCACCCTGCGAGGAAGGAGCCCTTGTGCATCAGTATATCCGTCACCAAGACCGAGAAAGGGTGCAGGAAAGAGAAGCTCTCCAGCTCCAGTGAGGATTCGCTCCCGGGGCGGCTGTTTTTCCTCCAGGACGAGCAGCCTGCTGCTCAGGATCAACAGCCACCGCGGGAAAGTACCCAAGAGAAGGCAGGAGAAGCAGCCCGGAACGAGGAGGAGGATGCTTTGGCGTCCGGCAGGCCGTGTGTCAGGAGCAGCGTCCCTACAGAGCCATCGGCCCCCTCTGTCCCTCCCACAGAAGGGGCTTTGCAAGTACTTGACGCTTCCTGCCTGAAAAGGCAGGTCTCGCATGACTTTCTGGAGACCAGGTTTAAAATCCAGCAGCTCCTGGAGCCTCAGCAGTACATGGCCTTCCTGCCCCACCACATCATCGTCAAGATCTTTGGGCTGCTCCCCACCAGGAGCCTGGTGGCCCTGAAATGCACTTGCTACTACTTCAAGTTCATCATCGAGTACTACAACATCCGGCCGGCGGACTCGCGCTGGGTGCGGGACCCGCGGTACCGCGAGGACCCCTGCAAGCAGTGCAAGAAGAAGTACGTGAAGGGGGACGTGTCCCTGTGCCGGTGGCACCCCAAGCCCTACTGCCAGGCCCTGCCCTACGGGCCCGGCTACTGGATGTGCTGCCACCGGTCCCAGAAGGGCATCCCGGGCTGCAAGCTGGGTCTCCACGACAATCACTGGGTCCCCGCCTGCCACAGCTTTAACCGCGCCATCCACAAGAAGACCAGAGGGGCGGGAGCCGAGGTGGAAGAGGAATATTAAGTGCACATACCCTTTTTTCCTGCGAGATTGTTTGGGGTAGGAGGAGATTCTCATGCCTTGTGCTGTTTACAGTGTATATAATTGTCGTGGTTATTTTTTTTTTGTTTGTTTTTTTGGTTTTTTTTTTCCACAGGGCTATGAAACTGCACATACTCGAACACAAGAGCCTTTACCTTTTAGATTAAAGAGAGCTTTTAGTCCATCTCTGTAAATAACACTATAAAAAAAAAAAACCCTAATTGTACATACAGAGTCTACAGCTGGCTGAACAAGGTAACCCCCTACAATGCAGCTATCCCAGTGTTGCGGCTATAGGTGTGTGTGTTTTTAAGTGTCTCGTTTCAAAAAATCTGTATATTCCGCATAATATATGAATGTTTCTGAGAAGAAACTCTAAATAGGTAAAGGTCAACTTGTTTAAAGAAGCTGCAGACAACTAAACTGGACAACCTGAAACTTAGACTATAGAACCAGACCCATTATAGTAGCGTGGCAGTGGATTTAAAAAAAAAAAAAAAAAAAAAAAAAAAAAAAAAAAAAAAAAAAAAAAAAAAAAAAAAAAAAAAAAAAAAAAAAAAGAGAGAGAAATATTATTGTATAGTCAGAATATTAAAAAAAAAAAAAGTTCTTGTCTACCTTACCCATGTTGTCTGGATTTTGGTTTTTTTTTTGATTTTTTTTTTTTTTTACATAAATAAAACGTGCATTCTAGATCTGCCTTACCAGACTTTCTCTTGTAAGACTTTTGCCCCGAAATAATAAAAATGCTGTAAAACCCCTGGCAGAAACTTGGTGCTGTGCTGTAGTTGAGACGTGCAGTGAGCTTCCTCTAGAGCAAACCTGTCCTACTAACAAAGGAACAAAAAAACACCTCCCCCCCCCTCCCAAATCTCTATTCCTTGGAGAACTCCCCGCTGTAACATTCACAGATTCCAGCTTTCCCTTTTCCTTCCTCTCAGCCCTGCGTCGGGAATTCTGGTGCTAGGTGTGTAAAGCTTGCGAAAACAGGGCCTTTCCAGTCCTCCTGCTTCT